TTTCATTTCTATTGATACATGTATCAACCAAACTGTAAATTGGGCTATTGCTAAAATCTCTGCTGACTTTGAAGGCAACAGTGATAGTCTTAATTACTGTTTTTTTCTTCACTATGATAATAATAGTAATAATAATAACAGCAGTCAGTGGATTGAGAATGTTGCAAAATTATTACGAATTGATGTGTGACATCACTTTAATACTTTAGGTATTGATTGTTTTTTAGAATGCATGTACATGTAACTCAGATTTGTTAAACATAATAATTAATAATTAATTATTTTTGTTTATATCATGATCTTATTCACTGTATTTGAACAGATGAAAGGGAAAGTGCTCTTATTGAGGCAAAAGAAGTCCTTTCAAAGTGGAAAGGACAGTCTTCAAAGAAACCCTCGCAGTCATGGGGAGARAGAATGGATYCTGCAAATGAGAGCTGGGAGGCATCCCGTAGTAGAATTACGGAAATTCTACTAAAACGAAGATATGGTGTTTTTGAGAGTGAATGTTGCCATTGCAGAAAGGCTCCAGCCATCATCAAATGCGAAGAGTGTGGCTCAAAGAAACACTTGTGTGCCAGCTGTGATGTAACTGTTCATCATAGCCACCCTTTGCACGATAGACTGGGTGTTATTGATGGTCACTATAAAGCCATCCCACCAACAGTAGCATTCAGTACATCATGTGACAAGCTGATAAGTTTTTATCTTTTAGAGAGATCTCTACCTTCTGGTGAGGTATTTTGTCCCGACTGTAACATCATTTCCAAGCTTGTTAATGAAAGTGAAAGTGGTAATGCAATTTTTGTTTCAATCAAAGGTAAATATATATATTTTTATGCAACCATTAATGTCATTAAGCATAGGATGGGGCAGTGGCAGGTTGATTCAATTGAAAGGCCACACCCTCAGAAAAAGAAAATTATACATGTAGGTCCGAATTCCAAAAAATTATTTCCTTAAAGCACATTATAAAGTACATATTTTTACACGATCACAGCAAAAGCCCTTACCCTATAAGATGTTTTATGTCCCTAGATGCACATATGAATCACCATAAGTAATAATTGCATTTGATATTATAAAATTATAATTGTAAATTGTTATACCTTGACTGTGGTTATGGAACATTTCTTTTTGATACATGTATCTTCATGTAGTACACCTTTTGCTGTTCGTTTGCGCAAAATATACATTCATCTACGTCAGCTGTAAAAACAACAGGGCGAAAAGACATTCATTAACATTATCTTAAGTTTCAATAACGCCAAGAAACATTCAATTACGTGATTTACATATCAGTGACATTCAATAGCATTAACAGATAAACAATTCCACCTTTGGACAATCAAAGATAGCAAACGTACTTTCAATGTCGCTGAATTAACAATCATTAATGCCAAGATACAATCAATTGCATCGATTGACGATCAATGGTGCATAAGAGACATTCAATAACAAAATTACCATAGAGAAGAACAATCAATTGCGCCTCTATACAATCATTCATTCGAAATGAACATTCAATTGCGGGAAACGACAAACATGTGCGTAATAACTACAATCAATTATGGAAAAACAATTTCAAGTTTATTTTATTCATTTGTATATATTCATTTGATATACAGCCCTTTGCAAAAATTATGAGAATTGTCTAAATATCTAAATATCATAATATCCATATCCATATATCCCCGGAACACGCGGGTTTGCTAGAATAACTCATTGTTGACATCAAGAAAATGTTCAGAACTACGGATAAGTCCGTCGCCAAAAAAAACTAAACAACAAAGAGACTAAGGGACAAAGGGACAAAGGGACTAAGGGCATCGTGCGGGATCATGCACTTGATATTATGATATTTATATATTTCAACAATTCTCATAATTTTTGCAAAAGGCTGTACAGCAACTATCCTTGGATTTCTTCCCGATTTATGCATCTTGTGGTAATCTGTGTACAATTACAAGATATAATTTCCTAATGCGAGTTCTTGTTCTCTTAGCCTGCTCTTACATATGAATAAAATTTTCATTTGACTGCTAAGGCTACTGAATATACTTGCTGGTAGACAATTTACATGTATTGTCGGTCTTTTATTTGTTTGTTTGTTTGTTTTTTTCTTAACAAATACTAGCTAGTTGAACGGTCAAGAAAAATGTTGATTTGAATGTCGAGTAGAAAAGGCATGTATTTTTCAACATTAAATGCACACTGTAAAAACAAGATTGCATTATCATTCAAATCTCAGGTTGCACAATCGTCCCCTGAGCAGATATAAATGGAAAACTCTTTAAATTAACACTCGCTGTTAAGCTAGTACATGAAAAAACATGCCACCAAGAAACCGAATCTCTTTGNAAAACGAGCAAGGCTTGATCTTCTTGTGCTTATCTCATGCTTATCTCATGCTTATGCTCAGTGAGAACGGGACTGCATAGGCATAAGCATAGCCTGGTACCGAAAAAATACGCTCGTGCGCATGCTCAATGTCTTATGTTTATGTCGAGCCAGTTCTCACTGGCGCATAAGATTCTAATGTCTGTGCTTATGCTATGCTTATGTGCTAGTGAAATCCACGCTTTAAAAGCAGCCATAAAAACGGACATTAGTCGTCCGGAGATACAACAACAAATGAACGACAGAGCAGATGCAAGAAGGCAAGGAATCGCCTTAGGAAATTACCGAACACAACTGGTACTTGACGCCCTCCAAAGAAATGTTGGAACAATAACTGCTGCTAAATAAGGACAGTGGTACAGATTTATACAAACCTACATTCCAAGATGCATAAATCGGGAAGAAATCCAAGGATAGTTGCTGTATATCAAATGAATATATACAAATGAATAAAATAAACTTGAAATTTGTTTTTCCATAATTGATTGTAGTTATTACGCACATGTTTGTCGTTTCTCGCAATTGAATGTTCATTTCGAAAGAATTATCTTTGATTGTCCAAAGATGCAATTGTTTATCTGTTAATGCTATTGAATGTCACTGATATGTAAATTACGTAATTGAATGTTTCTTGGCGTTATTGGAACTTAAGATAATGTTAACGAATGTCTTTTCGCCCTGTTGTTTTTACAGCTGACGTAGCGCAAATGAACAGCAAAAGGTGTATTAATTAGTCTCCTATAGGGAGGTTTGACATAATGCATACCAGGTATGCATGCAAAAATTGCAAGAAGGAATATCCAAGCTCATCCCTAGATGTAGTTCTTCAACT